TCCTAGAAGGATCCAACCCTGACTGGCTGAGCAGCGAAGGAAGGGGCGGGTCTTCCCCCGCCGCCCAGCCAATGAAGTGTCTGGCCTCCTTTTTGGCTGGTGCAATTGAGAACCCCTCCCCAACATGTCGGCGGGGGGTGGGGGGTCTTTAACATCACTTGGCCTAATCTGGAATAGTTTAGTGTTTAGTATGAATAATAAATTTGTTAGAAGTAATAAACAATACATTTCATGAGCTTTTTTCCCAGCTTGATGTAATTTTGAAGGATATTGAACATTTCCATTTTTGTTTTTGTTTTCTGAATTTTGAGCTGTTTTGGGAAATATTTGTGAAGGTGGTTTTTTTTTTGCTGTTTTCTTTAAAAGAAATAACAACTGTAGACATCATTTCTAAGCAAAATGCAATGGATGCACGAAAGACCCCAACATGTGTGTGAAATGCTATTGTTGCTGTTGAAAAGAAAAATGGAAATTTCTGTGTTGTGGGTAAAGTCTCCCCACAACTGACATCCCCCACCCAACTGGACATGTTGACAGGTTGAGATATTTGCAAATATTCTTTCCTTCCTTTGTATTTGTCAAAAATTACAAATAATCTTTTAAAAGCAAAGAAAAAGTTCACCTTCATTATATAAGTCCTACTTGGCTACAAAAGTTACAATTTATGTGGTGAGGCAAGTTATATTGTCTTATCACTTAGGATTATCTAGCAATGTCTGTGGATTCCCCCTCCTCTAATCTTAGCTATTCACTGCAACTCAAAGTCATACCAAAGCCCTCAAAGAAAGACATTGGAGTGGAATAATAGATTATAAAAATTGGAGCGGGATTTGAATGTGACCTAAAATGGAAGGAAATGGATTTGTTCATCCCAAATGTGTAGTAGTTAAAGCCAAATGCTGCAGAAGTGCAATGAAATGATTTGTAGTAGCAGGGCTACCATGAGACATTCTGCCACATTGCTAGTTAAATGCAATAAGATACAACAGTGGCTATGCAAAGTTTGACATGTTAGAGGTTATTCTACCTCAAGAGAAAAGGAACCATCTGGTGAGTAAGAAAGACCTTCTGGATTGCTAAGACAAAATTCCATCTGTCTACCAACAAACAGGCTTTTAAACTTTGATGAAACTCAGACGTTGGGTCTTCTGCAAAATTAGGCAGCTCGTCAGTTTTACAAAATGATGTCATTATCTTTAAGTCTCCATAGAGACAAACACATACTGCTGCTAGTGACTTGATTAGTCAGAATTCATAGTCCTTCAGTAAAGAATTAAACTACTGGAAATATATTAAGTTGTTAAAAAAAATAAAGTGATAAAAAGAGAGAGATTGCTCAATTAAACCATACTAATTGAACTTAGCAGCATTCAATTAAATGTTTAAGTATCCCCTCCCCCCAAATCCATCAGGTATTTTTTAAAAATCCAAATTTGGAATGCTAATAATAATCATAGAAGTACAGGCTTGTATTTGATAGCATTTTTATGGCTAGTAGCCAGCAGCACTTCATGTGCTATGCATTTATTTTGCTTCAGTCCAAAGTCTTTCCAGTGTTTGCCACAAATCTGGAACAATGCTCCATCAAGATATAAGCAAAGAGTGCCAAAGATAAAATTCTGCTCAAGTAATCTTATCCCTGTTTATTAGACTGTTCTCCTAGACTTTTAAAATGACCATTCTGTACTGTTTGCAATACAAAAACATACACTCTAATTCATTTTTATGATAAATATGATAAATTGTATTTCTGTTTAATAAATGTCCATTGTCTGATGACAAGGTAGAGGAATGAATGGATGGAAGGGGCACAGCCAAGTGGAAAGACCAGGGAGATTATTGCATGGAGAAATGCTGCTGCAATAGATGTGGGATTGTAAAGGCGAAACTAGGCTTTATGGCATGCACTGGCAGCTGAGTGAGTGGAACCCATCTGCATCCTTGCAGACTCCAATTTTTGAAAATCATCCAGATAAGTGCATCTGAGGTCTGAGATGCAGATGGGATGCACTCGCCCAACTGCTGAGAGATGCGATAAAACCTGGTTTTGCTTTACAATCCCACATCTTTCACAGCAGCATTTCTCCATGTCATCTCCTAGACCATACAACATTTCTTACACCTTCTTTCAGGACATCTGTGGAGAAACTTGATTCTTGTATGACACCTTGTGGCTCACAAGCTTCATGAGAATTAGAGGAACCTTCTCTGTAGCCTCTGAGCACCCTGACTTTAAATATATTGGGGGTACAGTTCTACATTTGAAGGATATTCCATTGCCAACCTTTAAAATGCCCAGGATAGCATTATTTCCAAGTAGGTTACCGTACTGCACTCTTATAGTGCTGATATTCCACTTTTACTGCTCTGGCTACTTACTATTGCATTCTCAGATTTGTAGTTCAGTGAGGCCTAAGAGCTCTCTGGCTGAGAATTCTAAATCCTCCTTTCTAAACTGCAAACCCCAAAATGCAACAGGGGGCAGCTAGAGCAGTAAAAGTGGAATAGCAATAACAATAGCAGCT